TAGTAGATAGAGCAAAACCTAATCCAGGATCAGCCCTCTAGCTGTTATACTCTTTATAAGCAGGAAGCGGAATCCTACCTTTCCTCTTCGAGATAAAAGTGAAGATCTTAGACTAGTGCGGAAATTCCCAAGATCAGATAACACGGACAAGGAGCAGGTTTTGTGTGAATGGGCCTAGAGCAGGGGTGCTCAAACATGGTCCTGGAGGGCCGGTGTCCTGCAGAGTTTAGCTCCAACTTGCCTCAACACACCTGCCTTCAAGTTTCTAGTATGCCTATTAAGAGCTTGATTAGCTGGTTCAGGTGTGTTTAATTGAGGTTGGAGCTAAACTCTTCAGGACACCGGCCCTCCAGGACCGAGTTTGGGCACCCCTGGTATATGTAATACTCGGAATTTATTGTCATGTCATCAGTGTTAAAATATGTTGATCAGAGTGTTCAATGAAACTATAACGACACCAGATCAAACACGTTTGAACTGCTCACTTTTTCATTTTGATTGAGATTTAGTGCGTCATTGGTTGTTTAATCATTCTCAGTGTAATTTAGAAATCAGTGATTTAATGTTAGGTAAATTCAGATTAACTGGGACATCCTCCCCCCGTATAGTTATTAAAACTATGCATTTCTATATTTTACTTGCCCTTCAGCTCTGAAATATAAATCTAAGTATGAATATCTGATATTCACATTTATACATTTTCAGGTCTGCTCAAAGTCTTTACATGAGTCATCTTATCTCGTTTAAATGGCAGTGTTGACATCTCTGGTGTGTTCTGTAAAAGTTGCATGTCTTTGCAGAGTACATTATGTAACCCGACTCCTGTTGTCTTGCTGCATGATTTGCAGAGCGGATATGCAAATTCAGATCACAATGTCAAACATGTTTCTTTACCTAGATAAAAGGGACACTATGAGTCAGCGCTCAGAGCGACGGGGGATCCATGTGGACCAATCAGAACTGCTGTGTAAGAAAGGCTGTGGTTACTATGGCAATGCTGCATGGCAGGGCCTATGCTCCAAGTGCTGGAGGGAGGAATACCAGAGAGCTCGGCAGAGACAGATCCAGGAGGACTGGGCTCTGGCTGAGAAGTGAGTCTTAAACGGCAGTTAGATCACGCATTAATTCAAAGAAACTTTCCGCATCATCAAGACATTCATAAAGCAGAAATGATGTTCAGACAGAATGCCGTAATGATGTGCTTCCTGTCGCAGGCTGCAGCGAGAAGAGGAGGCGGCTTATGTCAGCAGTCACAGTTCCTCTCAGACCCAGCCTCCACAGTCCCACTCTCAGCACTCTCTCGCCACCTTCTCTAAGTTTGAGGAGAAGAAAACCAATGAGAAGACCCGTAAGGTCACCACTGTAAAGAAGTTCTTCAGCCCCTCCTCTCGCACGGCCCCTAAAAAAGGTACAAGGAGGGTGGGATTAGAGCGATATGAGTGTGACTGGTGTTGTTTTGCAGTAGGATTCAGTGGCTGATGTCCTGGACTGGATGGACAAAATTATTATTTGCCCTTATCAAATATGCTTTATGAATATTATATTTGGTTGGACAAGTGAAAACTGATTTAAAATACAGTGGAGCTTCACATGTTGTGTCAGGGCTGTAGATTTTCCTTGCATCGCCACTTTTCCCTTAGAGCCCAAAATAGAAAATCACACATACCTTTGCTTCTGGATTTCTTTTGGAAATCATGCTTATTTCATATGCAAATGTCTGCCCTTATCATCATCATACATAGTCCCAGTTTGATTTTACTATTGGATGGCATCTCTCTGATAAAGCCTTAAACTGTCTGCATGCAACATCCAAACAGCAATTTGTAATTTATGCTAGTTTAATATTACTTTAATGGACCTGAATGTTGGTAATTAAAAGGCTTTATCATTGAAACATCAAGTGTAGACCGTTTAAAAGTTCAGTGGGATCAGTACAGTTTTTTATGATCTCTTTTGCTTACCAAGGTAGCATTTATTTGATCAAAGATAAAGTAAAAACTTATTATTTTGTGAAAAGTTTTCTTTTTTAATATATGAAGAGTTAATTTGCAAAAACCGATAACTCCATTTTTTTTTTTTTTCAGAAATCACGTTTTTTTTATTGCGCATTCCAAGTAATATCAATCAAACTGCAGTTGGGTTGTTTTGATTAAGTAATAATACCACAAATAAACAAATATTTAATAAAAATATAATTAAAAAGGAAGTAAACACTGTAACCAAGAGGGCACTCAGTATTCTGGGAAGTTTGTGTGCATTGGGAATCTTTTTTTTTTTTTTTCAAATAAAGCCAAGGTAACACTCATTTTACATACAGCACGTAATGAAAATGACATGAATATGACAGTGGGCAAATGCATAAATTGCAGCATATTTTGAAATCACTAGTTTAAAGTTTGTCGATCACACGTCTCCAGTGAAGCTGAACTCTCCTCCTGTCCATATTCAATTCGCACGGACCATAGGACCGACCGTCACGCAGAAAGCCCGCGATCATGCAGGATACAAATGCACACTTGTCTATCCATATTTGACAGAACTGAACGACGACAGCGAACAAGAGGGAGAATGTGAGCGGTGTGCGCTCAGGCGCTGCCGTTCTCAGCGCCATCAAAACAAAGGTCCCGCCTCGAACACATCGGCGAAACAGAAAACGATGCCGATAGTTGAAAAATTCCAAATATCGGCAGATATATCGGCCATGGCGATATATCGGTCGACCACTAATTAAAAGTTTGTTTTATAGCAAAAGCAGATAACTCCACATTTCATGTTTTAGAGCAGTGGTTCCAAACCTGTCCTGGAGGACCCCCTGCCCTGCACATTTGGACACACCCAATTTAGTTATTGGAGTCTCAACTAACGAGCTGATGAGTGGAATCAGGTGTGTTAGATAAGGGAGACATACAAAAGGTGCAGGGCAGGGGGGCCTCCAGGACTGGTTTGGGAACCACTGTTTTAGAGTTTAAAAAAACTAATCTTTGTAATCTCCTCAGATGACAATGTAGATGCCTGACAAACATTGTTGTTGTTGTGATCATAAACTGTATGGATGTGATTACACGCAATACACGGAGCTTTACCTTCACCATTGTAACCCGCTGCTTTTGCAAGGTTCCGTGAAAACGTTAAGGCTTTTATTTTCCTTTTTCGCCCCCAAAGAAGATATCACAGGTTCATCAAGTTCGTCGAAATAATCCATCCTCGATCACTTTTAGTCAGCTTTGACGAAACTCCTCTCAGCTAGCACGTCTTTTCAAAATGAAAGTAGCCTTGTCACCTGACCTGAATACAGCACGCTGATTCGCTAAAATGGACTTATCGGCTTCTGTTCAAAAACAACAAGGGCGCTTGTCGGCTTCTGCAGTAAAACGTGAACTCGTGATGCCTTGAAAGTGGACAAAACTGGCCTTTTTGACAAAACGTGTTTAGGGTTCAGGTCGCACGCTATATGTGGAGAATAATGCACAGCAATCGGCTTTTTTTAAAGTGGCGTTTATCGATTTTTGCAAATTAACTCTTCATATTTTTAAATATAATTTATTCCTGTGATGGCAAAGTTGAATTTTCAGCAGCCTTCAGTGTCACATGATCCTTCAGAAATCATTCTAATGTGCTGATTTGGTGCTCAAGAAACAATGTTGAAAACAGTTCATATTTTTCTTACATATTTTTTAGGATTCTATGATGAATAGAAAGTTCAAATAAACAGCATTTATTTGAAATAGAAATCATTTTTAACATGACTTCACTGTCAACTTTGATCATTTTAATGCATTCTTGCTTACTTTTTTTTTTTTTACTGACACCAAACTTTTCAACGGTTATGTAAGGCAAGCCATCCTTGCTTGATTTGATACGGTTATATATTAATTTGCTATCATACGATTTTATCATTTGTCTATCATGTTCTTATAAGATGATTTTATTTGAACAAGTGATCCACCCTTCATCTCTCAGTTTGTTTCCTTCATCTCGTTGCTGTTCTGCCGTTCTGTCTGATCTCCGCCCCACCTCTCCCACAATTTTCTCTCTCTTTTTCACTTTATATTCTCATCTGAACTCCTCTGTTACCACATTTTTCATCCATTTCACCCCCTTTCACCCATTTCCATTACCTACCCTGGGTGTTTTAGTCCCCCCTGAAAAAGAAAAAGAGAAAGAGGAGAAGTTGCAGGGCAGGAGGGAGAGCCATGGAGAAAACCTCCTGAGGGATCTGAAGGGCATTTTTACCCAACCCTGGGAGATGGCCTCTCCCACTGAAGGTAACAGACAGAGCCTGGAGGAAAATCTGGGGTTCTGAGAAGGAACGTAGGTGGAGATTGCAGTGTTTGTCTTCTCTTAGGTGGACCACTGTTTTTTTGTGTGATTTGATGTTCTGTGTTGAAGAGAGTATCTTTGCTAAAAGTATTTCACAAAGTACAGCAATTATTTTATGTTCCCCTTTAACTGTTCTTTGTGACATACAGCCCTGATCCATACCATAGTGTTGTGTGTATTTGTTGTTTGTGCGTCAATAGGCATGATTGAATTCACCCTACCATTTTTTCATGTTCACTGTCTCATTGTCATGCGTCCTCCTCTTTTTTTCTTGTCAATCTGGTGGCAGCTCTGGTATCAAGGCTGAGAGGTGGGTATTAGTGCCACATCACTGTAGCCCTCCAGCATAAATCACAGAAAACAAACCAGTGCATCAGTGTTATATATGTCAGTTAACAAGAACAATTTCTAATAGTTTTAGTTAACCCTGGGGCAAACATGTCTGCTAACCACCTAAGAAACTTCATTGTTGTCCCAGCATGGTGATGTGGGAGTGGGGTTATGTAACAAACTGATTTCATGTTTGTTTGTGAGACACAAGTATGTGAGGTATCTAAAGGATTTTTTTGTTGTATATGAGTAGTAGCAGCTGTCCTCTGTAGAATGCTGTGATTGGACCATAATGATTATTTACATTTTTGTACATATATACTTACGTTTTTATGGTTTACAATAATTTGCCAGAAGCCAAATGAATAATTTTTTTGCAAATATAAACCTCAGGTGGCTCCTCTTTCCTCAGGCTCCTCTGAGAAAGTGGACAGAGTAATGGACCAAGTGGAAAAATACATCATGACTCGACTCTACAAGAGCGTCTTCTGTCCAGAGACCTCGGATGATGAGAAAAAAGACCTGGCTACCCAGCACAGGATTCGGTCAGCCAGTGTTTAGTATTGTTTATATGCTATTATAGTATTTATTAATATTTAAAATTAGGTTTTAGCTTTATTTGTATTTCAGTGTTAGTTTTAGTAATTTTAGTACTTTAGCTTAAACTTATTTCGGTTAGTTACCAAAATAATATTTTGAATTTTTGTTTTACATTTAATATTGATATTTTAACAACATGCTCCATATCAGTGTTAACTTGCTGTTTGTACATGAAAATTCCTCAAATAGGTATTATTCTTTTACGCCATTCACCTTTAAAATCTGCATTCTTGATTTATTCGTTAAATAATGGTTTTCCAGGGCGTTACACTGGGTCACCATTCAGATGTTGTGTGTTCCTGTGGATGAAGAGATCCCTGAGGTCTCTGATAGTGTAGTCAAAGCCATCACTGGTGAGTCTGCAAGGATGGTTCTATTTTCTCTTTTAGTTGCTGCTTTTGTTTTTTCTTCCATCAAGATACAAGATTTTTTTCGTCTTATTTTGTCTACCTCAGATATCATTGAGATGGACCCCAAGCGTGTGCCCAGGGATAAACTGGCCTGCATCACCAGTTGCAGCAAGCATATATTCAATGCCATCAGGGTCACCAAGAATGAACCAGCTTCTGCAGATGACTTCCTTCCCACCCTCATCTATATTGTGTTGAAGGCCAACCCGCCACGGCTGCAGTCCAACATCCAGTACATCACACGTTTCTGCAACCCTTCAAGACTCATGACCGGAGAGGACGGCTACTACTTCACCAACCTGGTAGGTCCACACATAATTTAGAGTGGCTCAAAAATAATTAATAATGTCCAAACAAACTATTTTTGTGGAATATTTTGGTTCAAAAGTGTACTTATTTTACTTTAAAATTAATGCCCCTTGGTGTAATATTTTATCTAATGCAATGACATTAATATATTTCTAAAGGGACAATCAACCACCCATGAAAATTCTGTCATAATTTATTCTCATGTTGTTCCTAGCACAAAAGAAGATAATTTGAAGAATGTTGGTAGCTAAACAGTTTTGGTTTCCATTGTATGGACAAAAAATATAATGGAAGCGATTTGGTTAGCAACATTGTTTAAAATACAGGTTTGTAACAACATGATGGTGAATAAATTATGGCAAAATTGAAATTTTTAAGTGTACTATCCATTTAAGTGTGGCAAAAGTGTGCTAATACTGTTTGAGGCTACTATAATTACTTCTGAAATTTGGAGGCTGGCTAGTCATATGCATATGAATAAACCTTACTGTTTAGTCTAGTCTAATCTTTTCTATTCACATTTTTCTTGGTTCCTTTTCATTGTATTTTCCTAATTTTCATCTTCATCACTTGTTCCCCTCAGTGCTGTGCCATTGCCTTCATAGAGAAGCTGGATGCCCAGTCGTTGAATCTCAGCCCTGAGGACTTTGAGCACTGCATGTCCGGTCATGCTTCCCCTCGAAGGCAAGACGATACTGCAGCCTGGCCACAGAGTGGTACCCATGTCAACCCAGCACTTAGCCAGATCCATCACAACCTCAAGCTCCTATCCAGCCTTGAGAAAAGACAGCAGCAGGTCATCGAGGGGGCGCAGAACCTGCAGGCCGAACTGGCAGAATGGCAAGACAGCGTGTCCCGCGAGGTGCAGGAAATCCTGGAGCGATACCCACTGGAGATCAAACCACGAGCATCCGCGATCGATGCGGAGAATGTGGAGAACGACAGGCTGCCACCTCCCCTTCAGCCACAAGTGTTTGCAGGTTAGCGTAGTGTAATGTCCTCTGGAGTGTATAAGCCAGCGACATGGTCGTATCAAGACGGGTAAAGCATTTTTATATGCAATGGTTGCTCTTGTCCAAGTTCTCCACTCCTTTTCTCTCTGTATTTGGGCTGTTACCATTCCATTTGTCTTTTAAATGCGCTTACACAGTCCCACGTCATATCTTTTCTGCAAAAATATTCTTGTCTGACTACATTTGTGCAGCTGATTCATAAAGGACGAGGCAGAGTTTGTGAAACTAAATAAGCTTTTCTAACCAGGCTTTAGAAGATCTGTCAACAGTTTGATCTACCTTAATACGAGTTGTTCTAAAATACTGAATCAAATAGCTGCTAATACTTCCTCTTAATGTGATTGCAGTTTTTATGTGATCATACACCACATATCAGCATTTCTCTTGTAGATTAGTCATGTTCACTGAAGGGTGTTTCACCCTCATGCCGTAGTGTGTATTTCTCCTTGATGCAGGTCTTTTTATGGATGTATAAAATGTTTTGCTGCTCATACTGTATATTTAGGAAATGTAAAGTTGAACCCCATGCAGATGTAATTCACGGAATTGATCGGATATACTGTTGTGCATATGATTCAGCAGTAAACACTATTTACATAGGAATTCGTTTATTTACAAATGAAAATATTGGTATAAAGCTGTGCATTTGCTCACTTAAATTTATGCAATTCTGTCATGGTGTCTGCAGGCAAGAAAAAATTAACAAGTCCTTCCCCTCCCAAGACGGGGATGACATTAATATGTCTTGCATTTGATATTGTCAGCATTACATAAACCCAATTTAAATGTGAGCAAGTTTAAATTTTAATACTGCCCCAGCTGTAACTGTAAAAGGTACTTAGCAAAACACTATATTCATGTGAAAATAATTGGTTTCATTCACAGTAATGATTTTGATTTATGACTGTGTGTGGTATTTTAACTGAACTGCTTTATTTAAGATGTAAATATAACTTGAGGTGTCTTATTTTGTGTGTGAATCATTATTTATCATTCTGGAGCACCAAAATAAATCCGCAAAGCACAATGCTGACATCTGATGGCCAGCATAGAAATGAAATAATTGTTTAACACGTTTTTAAACCCAATAGCCCACAACATTTCAACACAATATTGCTTATTTATTTTTGTTTTGAAGCATAAAATGTGTATAAAGTTGTATTGTATCAGTGCTTGTTCTCAACTTTTTACTTACGGATGACAGGTGAGGATATGGTGGGCAGATGTCAGTCTACTAACTCAAATATCTCTGAAATGAGTTGAATTGCGTCTCATTGGGTATAGCCTGAATGTAACTTTAATTTGCACATGTTCATATGGGACTTTGAAAATGGCTCATTTAATGAGCCATCGGCTCCATAACAGATCTGCAGCCCCACCAAACCTGAGTGTCGTACGATGGTTCCTCTGTACCTGCAGCCCTCCAGAGGTTCTCAGTATAGCATGTAGGTCAGTGTCTCTCAGGAGAGTGAAGATGCTCCACAAGTTATATGCTGAGATCTTGATTTACTATGCAAGTACTCTACATTTGCAGTCATTACTCAGCCAATATGTGACATAAATTTTTGTTTGGTTATTTGAGGCATTGATATAGCTTGTATTGTATGATTTTGAATTAGTATCATTTGATAAAAATGCCATATTTATGGCACATCACTTACCTTTCATTAGTTTAAACTACATCAACTTTTACTGTTACACCAGAAAACAAATACATTGTCATTTTGACAAAAGATTGTAAATCTGATACAAAATACTAAGAATGTAGTTACAAAAAATGGTTAAATCCGTTAAAACTGGTAACAACAAGCAAAACTGAATAGTCATTAATTAAAGCTGCAGTCCGTAATTTTTTAGGTTAAAAATGATCCGAAATCAATATTTGAGCAAGTACATAACCAGCCAGTGTTCAAAACTATCGCCTTACTTTAGCCCGATTCACAAGGTTAGCTTATAATAATGTTTTATAATTTGAGTGGTATGGGTAGGTTTTCGCGGGAAATTCGAGCATGCTGCTGCGTCATTACCATAGACTGTATACATCACTTCTGTAAACATAAAGAAGTTGTCCCGTCTACCAGTGTTGCCAATTTAGCTACTTTGTAGCTAGATTTAGCGACTTCCCCGCCCCTTTTGAGACTTTTTTTCAAAAGTTTAGGGACAAATATAGCAACTGCTTGGACAAACCTTATCTAAGTTCTCATCTTGCCCACTGATCTACATTCATCTTTATATAGATCAGTGAATTTGCCATTGTGATGTCATCTAGTGACATTTAGCTACCAGTTTTAGCTACTTTCAATTGAAAGCAGTTGGCAACACTG